AGCCATCCCATTCGTTCCAGCCGTCTAGCGATCCATCATAACAAGGTGGGCAAGTTCCTTCAATTAAACATTACAGTGATTGTATTTACTAGTAAGATACATAGTACAGCAGCTATATATTATTAGTTTACTTACCACAGTTCTGTCAGTTCTAGTTGTTCTATTTGTTCCAGTCATCGCATTCAAACCAGCCGTCCCATTCGTTCTAGCCGTCTAGTGATTTATCATAACAAGGTGGGCAAGTTCTTTCAATTAAACATTATAGTGATTGTATATTATTGGGTTACTTACTTGTTCCATTATTGGTCCTAGGGTTCGGTGTTCCAAGTGTTTTGGTGTTCTAGGTGTTCCAGGTGCTTTAGCTATAAAACGAGATGGGTTATTAGCTATCTCATTCAATTGAACGTTACAACAGCTATATATTATTGGGTTACTTACTACAATTTTGTTGTTTTCAGTTCTAGGTGTTTTGGGTATTCTAGGTGTTTTGGTGTTTCAGGTGTTTCAGGTGCTTTAGCTATAAAATGAGGTGAGTTATTAGCTGTCTCTTTCAATTGAACATTACAACAGCTATATATTATTGGGTTACTTACTACAGTTCTGTTGGTTCCAGTTGTTCTATTCATTCCAGCCGTTTAGCTGTCACATTCAAACCAGCCATCACGTTCAAGCCAGCCATCGCATTCAAACCAGCCGTCGTATTCAAACCAGCCATCTCATTCAAACCAGCCGTCCCATTCGTTCCATTCACAAAATATATAAAGCAAGGTAGTTATTAGTTAGCTTCAATTAAACATTACAGCAATTATATAATAATGATTTACTTACTTTAGTTCCATTAGCTCTAGCTGTTTCATCCAAGTATTAATAATGCAAGACGAAGATATATATGATATATATGAAGCAAGGTTATTATTAGTATTTTATTTAGTGAAATATTGTAGTAGGCCTATTCAAGTATATGAAAGTTAAAACTATAGTAGCTTATTAATAAGCTATTATAGTTTTAACTTTCATATACTTGAATAGACCTAGTATTTAATTTATTAGTCATTTACCTACTCCTTTATTATGATAGTTCTGCCAATAAAAATTTAAACTTGAATTTCCTGGAGCTGCTTATTAATAATGAACAATTATCTGATAGTGTTATTAATATATCTGAACCCCTTTTATCAATTTCGATACCAGTATCTGGTATGCGGTTTGAATCATGAACAGAAATTGATAGATATATTGATGTTTATTGTAATTCCAAAAACTTTTCTAAAGTTATTTATGGTGCAGAATATAATAATGGAGTAAGAAAACATTGTTATTATAAATATGAATATCAGAGTAATTATCAAGGAAAAAAAAAAATGATGTTGTTGAAAACCAGCATAATACACGTTCCAAACGTAGTAGATGTTTATGGTTCATAAATGCCACATGTCCAAAAACAACTGGCATTATTAGTATCACCACCCTAAGTTTAGAACATGGAGACCATCCTTTAGATCCCCTTACTAGTAAATTTGGTCTTACTCATCAAACGTTAACTGAGCCAATGTTGGCTGATATAGAGTTTTGGACAACAAAAAGGAATCTTAATATGCATACTCAACGGCAATTACTTGAAGCTAAATATGAAAATGTTTTTTTTTTATCTCAAGACCTGTCAAATGCTATTCAAAAGGTTAAAACTGAACAAAAGGTTGATCATGAAGCCGCAACACTGGTTAATCACCTTATTGAACGTAAAGCTGAGGATATTAGATGGACTATAAATTGGTGTATAGACCCAGCAACAAACACTTTAGTATCAATATTTTGGATGACCCCAGAACAATATGAACTTTACTTACAATATAGTGATGTTGT